GCTGCTACAATGAGCACCAATATCTTACTGTCAGGACAGGGAACTTCAGTTATCCCTCAAGCGCTCCAAGGTCCCCAGACTGACAGGGAGGAATGGAATGGAGATGGGGCCCTGGTCCCCACAGCCAGGCAGGGTCCAAAGCTACTCCTAGTATCAGTGTTGGCTCAGCAATGAGAGCAAGAGCGAGTGAGCGAGAGAGAGAGACAGAGACAGAGAGAGACAGAGACAGAGAGACAGAGAGACAGAGACAGAGACAAAGGATCCCAGGAAGACTGGAAGCTTTGTGTGGGCTAGGCCTAACCAGCAGCAGAAATCTCTTCCAAGCAGTCCATTTGTCTAGAGCTGAGTTATGAAAAAGTGTGCTGGGAAATGCAGCCTAGTACTGGATCCAAAGAAAGAAAACAAGCTTAGTAAACAGTTCAATCTCTGCCACAGCTACGATAAATAAAAAGAATGATTTTAAGACAGGTATAGTGGCTGAAACCTACAATCATAGCTACTCTGAATATGGAAATCAGGGGATCCAGGTTGGAGGCCAACCGAGGCAAAATGAAGTTCATAAGATTCTATCTCATTCAATGGCTGGGCATGGCAGCACATGCCTGTTATCCCATCTGCTCCAGAAATACGGTGGCACAGTGGTGCATGCCTGTATCCCCACTGACACAGGGAATCACAAGTAGGAGGAGCATAGTCCAAGCTGGCTCAGGCATAAAGCAAGACCCTGCCTCAAAAATAACCAACACAATGGTTTCACATGACTCAAGTGGGAGAGTACCTGCCTTACAAGCAGGCTCTGAGTTCAATACCCAGTACCACCAAAAAAAAAAAGAGTGATTTAATATAGTGTGTACATATAGTATACTCTCAACCCTTTTAAAACACATAATCCCAGAAGTAACACTTTGCAACTTAGCAATTCTAAATCTGCCCTCTAGAGAAAATATACTTAAAGAAACATGTACAAAGACAATTTTAAAACAACAGAAATAGCCTAGGGCTACACAGGGGATTGATTAAGTAAAATATAGAACCCTTGGCATGGAGTACTATGCATAAAATGAGTAGTGCAGATCTGTGGGGACTGAGCTGGGGATATCACCAGACATGATGCTGAGCATAAAAAGAAAGAGACAGGACCTAAAACAGTAGACTTTAGGACGATGCCTCTTAAAAATCCACAAAACTGAATTCTTTTTTTTTTTTGGTCATGGGGCTTTAACTCTGGGCTTGGGCGCTGTCCCTGTGCTCTTCAGCTCAAGGCTAGCACTCTATCAATTGAGCCACAGTGCCACTTTCCAGTTTTCTAGTGGTTTATTGGAGATAAGAGTCTCAGGGACTTTCCTGCCTGGGCTGGCTTTGAACCGCAGTCCTCAGATCTCAGCCTCCTGAGTAGCTAGGATTACAGACATGAGCCACTGGCACCCGGCTAAAACCGAATTCTTTTGTGAGTAGTGACAGGGCAAGCCAGGGAGAGTGAGGCTGCTCATCATCTAATTAGCCTTTGGGGTCAGACAGTTCTCACTGGGAAGGGCCTCTGGCAGTTTATAGGGTATTTGGCAGCATCATTTGCCTCTGTGCACTGGATCCAAGAACAATGCCCATCCCCTGTCCAAGGATGCATAGATGCTAAGTGAGCAAGTCAGCCCAGTGCTAGTGGCTCATACCTATAATCCTAGCTACTCAGGAGGCTGAGATCTGAGGATCATGGTTCAAAGCCAGCCTGGGCTGGAAAGTCCCTGAGACTCTTATCTCCAATTAACCACCAGAAAACTGGAAGTGGAGCTGTGGCTGAAAGTGGTAGAGCATTGGTCTTGAGCACAAAAGCTCAGGAACAGAGGCCAGGCCCTGAGTTCAAGCCCCAGGACTGGCAGAAATAAAACAAAACAAAGTGAGCAAGACCATTCTTGCAGGGAAGGATGGGGGAGGTGAAGGGAACATTCATTTTACCTGTAATCTTCTAGAAGTTTACCACAACAATCTTTGTTTCATTTATATAAATTTTACTTTTTAAACATGTCAGAAACAAACATAAAAATATTAAGAGTAATTATCTTTGAGTTGTGAGTCTACGGGTGACATTTGTTGTTTATATATTTGCTATAAATATGTACTATGCTAGAAAATTCAAACTAAAATGAACTTTATTTTGGAAGAACGAAGGCTGAAAATGCAGTGTTAACAGCATGGGCAGATGGGGATGGAATGATCAGTTTGCCTCTTTGATCTTTGCTTTCCAACCTTCTATAGCAGCATTCAGGCATTTGTAATTCAAAAAAGCTTTATTTTCTAGATTTAAAAAATCCCTGCCTTATAACTGAATTAGAAAGAATGGCTTTAAAGGAACGAGGTACAAATAGGCTGAAGAATGGTGTTGGCTCCTGGCTTGTCTTCCTCTATGATCCTAGCTATAGAGATCAAATACCATGTCTAGGAAAGAGGAGTTCAGAATGGGGAGTAGACTTGGAGATATTAAATAGCTCCATAGGAGGGCAGGCAGTCACGTGAACACTCCTGTTCCAGTCAGCAGCTAAGGGCAGTGGTCAGAGCTAGTCAGCTGGAGAGCTGGAAGTGGCCTAGGGTCACTGCTAGGTAGAAGACTGAAAACCTCTGCTGAGAACAGGTTCTCAGAGATGTGTTCTATTTGATTTATAAGTACAAAATTGCACCATGGGCTACTATCTATATATGTAGTGATATATATATATAGATAGATAGAATTACTAAATATGTAGGGATTTTGTTTTTATACTTAAAAGCATATTTATGTTTCTTAGAAGTTCTCTATTGTTTTGGCCAATCTGTTCAAGAAGGAAAAGCAATGTTCATTCAGCATGAACTCTATACCAAGGTGTTTTGTCCATGGCTCACTTATAGCTCACAGTGAGTGAAGTATAGGAGTTCTTGGTCACTTTGAAAATTAACTCATTCATTCATTTATTCAAACAACCCAACCGCAATAATGGAGCACCCTGTTACCTGCCTATGATGGTGCAAAAGTAGCAGTACATTGCCTTCACCTAGAGCAGAGCAGACTTCAAATGTGAAAGGACAAGACCACACCCGATAAAGATGAAAAGGCAGGTGAAGGGGACATAAAGCAAGGCCCAACTTTACCTGGAGGCATTAGAATGCTCCCAAGAAACAGCTTTAAAATGAAGCCAGGAGGAGGAGGAATTAGAAAGATGAGGTAGAGCAAGGCGCAGGGGGACGGCAAGAACAGGCAAGAGAGGACTCAATATACACGAGGCATGAAACATTACCCCCTTAGCAGTGATAGTGGTGAGAAAAAGGCAATTGGGGTGACAGCAGAAGAGCAGACAACAGGAAAGATGAACAACAAGAGTAAGCAAGGTGAGAGGCACTGTTGGATTTAGGCTTCTCAACGCCCTGACTACAGGGAAGTGAAGAACCTCAGAGAGAGACAGGATGCAGGAAGGATGCGATCAAGCTCAGCCATGGAGAATGAATGGCCCTGGGCCAATATTTGGGTCCTAGGAATGAATGTGGCTGATATATTGCATAAAGTTTCAGAAGCCAAATAACATAACCTACCAGGCATGCCTATTGTGTGCTGACCCTCCACACACCCCGTATGATGCCTACAGCAACCCTGGAAGGAAGGAGAAATGCTCTTCATTTCTTATCTGAGAAGGAGAGTTCAGAGAGAGTTAGCACCTGCCCTCAGCTCAGGGGTGTGCAGCCCCAGGGCTGGGATTCAAACCTCTGTGGGGCTGACTTCAGTGTTCTTTACAAAATATCATACTGCCTCTGAACGGACTCAGTCAGTGCAAAAATCCTGCTTTTAGTTCAGGAACTTAAAAGCAGGAGAGACAAGGAGGGGTAAGAATTCTCCCTACATCATCATTCTGCATCTTAGATTTATAAAGCTATAAAGATGTCAGACTAGCAGAGGCCTTGGTCGCCAGAGAACCACAGAGTTTATAGCTGCCTAGGAGGATTCTGGAGGTCCACGCATTGTCTAGCTCTTCCCCCTTCCCATGCAAGAGCCACTAAAGCTTTCTCCCTGTAATTTAGGCCTGATGGGCTTTGTATTCTTCATCTCTTGAAATGTTTCAAATATAGACTGTATGAAAATAATATAATTACCCATGACCTAGCTTTAATAAATTTTATCATTCTCTTATATCAGCCTCAAATGCTTTCTTTCTCCTTCCCCCCCTTTATCGCCCCCCCCAGAAAATAAGCACTGCACATACAATTTAGTCCCCATTCCCTTTCCAGAGTAATTATTATTTGAAATGTGATGTCCACCACTCCTGCGTATATTTGATACAATTACTGTATATTATGGATCCATAAAAATTGATGGTTTCTGTATGTTTTCCAATTTTATGTAAATGGTAACAAACTGCACACATCATGTTGCAGATTTGATTTCTACATTTGCGCACATATTTGCATTTGTGGGTGGAAGACAAAATGTTGATATGAGGCAAACACAGGCTTTAGAGTCAGCCAGGAACTGTGGCTTCCTCTCAGGCCTTCAGGGGAGTTACTTAACCTTTCAGAACTCCATTTCTGATTTGTAAAATGAGGCTAAAGACCTACCTTGTGAGGCTATCTTCAGGTCTGGCACAAAGCAAATATCTATAATGGTAACCATTATTTGTCACAATAAAATAGCACACACTCAATAAATGGTAGCTATTTTTATTGTAACCTATAAAAGTTCTTCACATTTGTTTAGGAAACCTAAGTCTTAGAATGGCCTTAAGGTCCCCAGTGCCTGACTGTGCTCATATAAAAGGAAGTGTGATTATTTCCAGGTCAAGTCTTTGTGCATTTTTATGAATTCGTCCATCCAGCTGGGCTTGGCTTGTTTATTTTAATGGCAGAATTAAACTACTAATTCTGTGTGCTCTACCGCATGCCATCCTGCATGGCTGCAGTTGGGAGTCTAACTTGCATTCGCCTTTTTAAAGCTTACACTGTCCCTAGCCCTGGCTTCTTCTCTCCTCCCACCTCTGAAGACTCACACTGTCCTCTACAATCTTGTGAGGTGCAAACATAAGGAAGCTTGGTGGTGCACACCTCTCATCCCAGCACTCAGGAGGCCGAGGCAGGAGAACTTCAATTCCAGACCAGCTTGGGCTAACTCGAGGCACCCTGTCTCAAAACAACCAGGACACGAGACAGATAATGTAATGAGCATTCACGTGTGTTTTCAATAACGGTAATGCAGAACTTGGGCACAGTACCAGCAGGAGCAGAAGTACCAAGCATCTGTCATCTCTGCCACACTCATTGTGAGCAGACCGACGCGATCAGATCTGTCTGCACCACATAGCGTATGCCAGTGTTAGCTTTCTACAAAGGCAAAAAACAGAGTGTATTCATGACCTTACTTTCAATGTCTAGATACCTCCATTCTACATGGATCCATTTCACAGGACAATTCTCTTATAAGGCCCCTGGCTGACTCCCCCCCCCCGCCCCCACATGGGACAACACTCTTCTGAACAAGCAGACAGCCTGTGCATCCTGATTAAAATGCAAGCTTCCCCCGTGAAAGCCTAAATCTCTGTTTAAAAAAAAAAGTGTCCAATGACTAATGGGAGGCTGAGCACTGTAACTCACACCTTAATCCCAGCTAATTTGGGAAGCAGAGATTGGGAGGGTATATGTGGGGGGGGAGGGGGGAGTTAGTGAGACTACATATCAACAAATAAACCAGGTATGATAGTATGTGTTTGTGATCCCAGCTATGTGGGCAGAGACTGGAGGATCACAGTGTGAGGCAAAAATGTGAAATAGTACCAGAAAAATAAGCAAAGCAAAAATGGAGCCAGGTATTAACGGCTCATAGCTGTAATCCCAGCTATACACAAGGCTGAGGTGTAGAAGATCTAGGTTCAAAGGTAGACAAGGCAGGAAAGTCTGAGAGATTCCATCTCCAATGAACCAGAAAAACTCTGGAATAGAAGTATGGCTTAAGTGGTAGAGAGCCAGCCATGAGCAAGTAAACAAGCGAGAGTTCAAGGCCCCGAGTTCAAATCCTTGTTGATGTTGGTACTAGGTCTTGAGCTCTAGGCCGGGTGCTATCTCTGAGCTCTTCAGCTCGAGGTTAGCACTCTACTGCTTGAGCCACAGTACCACTCCTGGTTCTCTGGTGGCTAATTGGAGATAAGAGTCTCACAGATTTATCTGACAGGACTGGCTTTGAACTGCGATCCTCAGCTCTCAGCCTCCTGAGTAGCTAGGATTACAGGCATGAGCCACCAGTGCCTGGCTTCACAATTTTAGTTTATTTTTGTCAGTCATGGGGCTTGAACTCTGGGCCTGAGCGCTGTCCCTCAGCTCTTCAGCTCAAAGCTAGCGTTCTACCACTTGAGCTACAGTGATACTTTCGGTTTTTCTGGTGGTTTACTGGAGATAAGAGTTTCACGGACTTTCCTGCCTGGGCTGGCTTTGAACTGAGATCGTCAGATCTCAGCCTCCTGAGTAGCTAGGATTACAGGCATGAACCACTTGTGCCTGGTACCATTTTTTTTTTTAAGGGGCAGAGTTTAAATGGTAAAGTGCTTACCAAGCAAGTGTAAGGCTGAGTTTAAGCCCCGGTACTGAGAGAAAAAAATGTGCCAAATAGAACTAAGGACTGCTAGGACTTGGTATAGTGAGATGGGGTTTCAGCCATTAGGCAAATAGTAAAGTCACTGGGAGGCTGGCAAGTTGCTGACTCTGTCCACGAGGACTCAGCACCTCTGTCAAGGGCAATGGAAATAGCTCTCCTTATCAGCAGCCTCTGCCATGCCTGGCCCTGTGCAGCCAGCAAGAAATAGAATGATTACCTATGACCTCGCTTTAATAGATTTTAATACTCTCCCATATCTGCCTCCAGTGTGCATTTACTCTCACTCTCCTCCCTTCCACTCTCCCCCATTTTCCAGATTATTTTGAACTATAGCTGAAGTCCAGCCCCATCTAACGCTGAGGCTCACACTTTTCCTGTTGTGTGTGGCCAACACAGTCATGCTAGCATGGCTCCCAGCCATGTAGAAGTGGGCCTGAGGTAGTAAACAAAGTGAGTAAGTCAGGATGCTCTCAGACACGAGCAAACAGGAACTCATAAGACATACTTCACCTTTCCTACAGGGTCCCAAGCCTCCAGTCTATTCTCCCCCAGGCCAAGTCCCAATTCATCTGGGATATTAATTATGATAAAAATTTATTAAGTACTCATAAATGCTAGGGGCTTCAGGGAGCACTAGAAAAACACAGCTATGTATCTACACTCTCATTCAAAGAAAATTAAGTGTCTAAATGATGAGGGCTCCTGGTAGCAGTAAATACTACTTTATTACTTGCATTCTCCCTATCCTTCTCTTGAAACTGTTTATTATTTATTTAGCCTCTTGGATTTCACACCAAATGCCAAAAACTAATATGTGTTCCAGGTAAAATATGGCCTGAGCCGAGGAGCACACAAGCCACTCTCTGTCGGCCTTATCTCCATCATAATGGTCTTCGTGAAATATGACCTACAGTGTTTTCCTGTTTCTCTGCTCCCTCTCAGACTGAAATGGAGAATAAAAAGGACTTAAGTCTTTTAGGTGAATATGGTACAGACGAAGAGATGGGAGGAATGTGTATAGGGGTGTCCCCACCTCATTTTCTTCTTCATTTGGATTTCTTTCCTTAACAATACCCCTGAATTTATAAGACCAGTCTTTACCTGAGCCTCTGTTTGAGGTAGAACAACACAGTAATTAATGCATGTGACAAAATCAAACAATTGTGTACACATGAAGCCCAGATGACAACTTACAGCTGAGATAATTCCACCCAACTGTCCACACTCCAGGGTCAAATTGATGCTAAATTTTAATAGAGTGACACTTCTATCTAGTAGATTCCAAAGGACTGAGAGAAATGTTGATTAACATAGAAAACTAGTGAATAACTGGCTTAGTTGGCTGTATGAATTAAACGAGCACTTTCAATGATGATGTTGAAAGAACAACAGAATCAAACAGATGATAGAATAAATACATGCAAATTAAATTTTAGAGAGTGGAGAGCCTATTCTGAAATGAAGGTATGTGTCCCTAGGTAGGGGGAAAGGCACCCACACATACCCAAATTTCTACCTATTCCTGTGCTAAATTCCTTTTACAAACCACAAAACCATTTATGTCACCATTAGAGAAGAAGCTTAAGTGGAAATAATCCCTTGGAAGAAGTAGCACATTGATTTTCATGAACTAACATTGATTGCACCCCGCGGTTCACATTAAGGTTTAAGGGTCTGGTGGGAGGAAAGGGCTAATGCAAGTTCTGTCTGCACAAACACCAAGTGGTCATATGGCCTGAAAAGGGGAGCGTTTCTGAAAACTGGGAAAGGGAGAGGGCAGAGCTGAGGAAGAAAAGCTAAACATTATTTTTAAGATTCTGCCTAAGATCCCTGGAAACCAGCCTGCAAAGTTTCATATGATTATTCTAATTATACATTGGGTAGACTGTGATTCTACAATAATTGCTAATTAAAATATGACATCTACAATCACAGACTGGTCAATGATGAATACACACAGCTAAAGAAGAGTAGTGGGAACCTCAGATTTTGGCTAATGACTGCTGTCACCCCTCAGATTTCTTCATTCACTGTGGGCTCCATCCCACATGGCAGCTCAAGATCTTCTGTTGTTTAATTCTGTGCAGAAGTAACAATATTATACATCCACTTTCTAATCATCTTTCAACTTTAATAACCCTAGATGCTAATTACAGAATTTGTGCTAACCCAAGCAGCAGTTAAATGTCCAGAGAGAGTGTGGGAGAACCCAGTTCATCACGCTGCTCAGACACCAGGCCATAAAGGACGATTTAGGCGACTCTACCAAGGCACAAATCTGGCTAATATGTCCCTTGTAGTCGATGAGCTCTGATTAGTATTTTCTCTGTTAAATCATTTAAGATCTGGGAGCTGTACTCCACCTTAAATAGCACTAGAGTTTCATAAACAAAAGAGATGGTCCTCTCATCAGGGATTTGGAAAGTCACTGAATCCTGGCCAGGGGAAGCCAGGAAGAGGAACCTGAAATACTTCTACACTGAGAGCCCCAGTATAGTTCATGTGCTCATTAGTACTTTACTCAGCACTACTGTAAGAATAGCCTCTTGAAAGTAATTTAAGTGCTGCTTGATCGTGTTAGATCAGATAATAGGAAAAGTCTGCTTTGGACAGAAGTAGAGTAGACCAAAGCAGTGAGACTTGAAGGACAAAGAGAAAGACTAGGCAGGACAAGTAATTCACCCCAATGTTTCAATACTGTGTAATATAAACCGTTAGTGGGAAGGTAAATGTGGGACAGATCCCCCAAATACAAACGGCCTTTAGAGAATCCCAGGTGAGGGCCATCTATCACCAAGGTTATCTACAAATATAATATGGAATCAGGGGGAAAGTCTGAGTTACTGAGTACTACTTGATTTCATGAAATCTGTTGTTGCTGTTGTTTTAAAGCTGTAAAAAGGAAGACAAAAAAGCCTTCTTTAAATAATTGACAGTGATGCTGTGAAATCACCATGGGTCAATTTATTCTGAAAAGCACTGACAAGTTCTGGGAGAATATGGGAAGATCTGGAAAACACTGGCTCTGAAACACCATCTTTAGTGTATGGCATACTGAAAAGGGCAAGGGGGCACTTTGGAATTAGGAAGAGGTGGTGTGACCCTGAGGACACACTGTGTAGCCCTCTGGGTCTCAACTTTTTCAGGGTGATAAAATGAGGGCAATCATATTAGCCCACAAAGAATGGAGGTGGGCACACCCACAGTGAGATACCTACAACACAGTAGGTCTGCAGAAGAAAAAAAAAGTTTTTCTAAACTCTGCATCAGAGTTGCGATACAGATTCTGATATCATCAAAATCAAAACATAGACTTCAAAGACATGGGAAGCTGAGTCAGAGACGGGAGAATTCTCTGTTTTCTCCCCCTCAGGAAACGTGTATTAAGGTGAAGTCAGAGACTGTAATGGGAGCATTTCTGGAATAATGATGAGACCCTGAAATGAAGGATGTAAAGGAGGAGGTACCCAGGCTGGCACAAGATTTGTAGGAGGATTGTCTTGAAAAGCTAAACGAAGCAAAATGCTATGTGGAG